TAAACAATATGTGCAGAATCAGCAAATAAAGCAACATTTACTATGAATGAAAGGCCAGTGAATCTTGGTATTGCTTGACCATGCAAGCATGAAGATGAACATAGCTTGGAGGAGAAAGGGTCTCTAGCATGCTGGACCATTCTTCAAGGACAAATGAGGAGGGGGCCTAATAATGACAGCTAATGCCAGACAATAATGGTAGAACGGGTGTTGTCCCAATGAAGAATGATAGACAGCTAGGTAAAGAGAGTGGATGAAAAGATACGGATAATTAGAGGAGCATATCTTCTCTTAGCGAGAGAACAGAAGAAGGGGGTTGTAAGCTTCCTGAGAGCAGGGCCCCTGTTTTCTTTTTTTTTTTTAATTTTTTTTTAATTTTTTATTTTTTTTTTAAACTTTTATTTATTTATTTGAGAGCGAGAGAATGAGAGACAGCATGAGAGGGAGGAGAGTCAGAGGGAGAAGCAGACTCCCTGCTGAGCAGGGAGCCCGATATGGGACTCGATCCCGGGACTCCAGGATCATGACCTGAGCCGAAGGCAGTCGCTTAACCAACTGAGCCACCCAGGCGCCCTGGGCCCCTGTTTTCTACTCTTTGTGTCTCCAGCATTAGCCAAAGGCCTCACCTAATATTAGCAAGCTTTAACAAATGGTTTTGAATGAATAAGTGAACTAATCACTGCCTACTTGATACAGAACTCACCTGCAGAAGCTGTTCAAAGAATAAAGGCAAGATTCTATGGCCTGTTGAGAAGCTAGGATAACTATCAGGACTCTAATTAGTAAGCTAAAGGGTAAGGGACTTCTTAGGCCAAGAGAATGAGGGTCCGTAAGTGTTTAGACTCTTGGAATCCTTAAAGAAAGGGTAACAGTCTTCAACCATGCTATGACTAACCCTAGGGAGCTCTTTTTCTAGGAACAATAGATTCATGAGCATCCAGGGCCTAAAGTAAGCATGGACAAATCTTAACCCTAGAAACAGTAGGTCAAACTTCCACTTACTTTCGCCAGAATCTGGCATTTATAATGCAATAACGGAGACAATGCAGGCAAGGCTAAAACTAATTTTGAGATGTAAAAACAATTTTTCCACCGTACATTTAAAAATGTAAATTTTCTATCATAAATTAAATTATGTAAATTAAAAATTACTTTCAAGGTTTTTACGCTGTATTACTTTATCTGGTTAATTCTTTACAGGATTATAACTTTATAAATATGTCACGGCTAATGTTCTGCCATTCAAGTGACATCCAGTATGCATATAAAATGCATACTTCTTAGCTTGGCATAAAAGCCCTGTGTGGCATGCTGTCAAATTAACTACTTTTCCAGAATCATGTCAAATCCTCTTCATATGCAATGTATGCTCCAACTGTACCAAATTTCTCCTTAGGGTCTTGCCATTTCCTATGACTGTGAATTTGCTCCAAACCAGAAAATGACTCGTTTAGCAAGATTTAATTCCAGTCTTTCTTCCTCAGTCTCTGAGAAGAGTTAATTATTTTCTCCTCTGTCTATATGAACATATCTTTATTTTTAAGAATCATGTGTCTTTTTGTTTTATCATCATTTCCTTATTTTTCAACCTCAGGCACTAGGCTGTCAGCTTGAAAATGGCAGGATGCATGTCTTCATTCTGTCTACCTCACCCTAGTTCAACAAATAGTCATTGGCTGCACAAAAACACTCATGTTACTGAATAACATACCAGACATCATTGCTTCAAATAATTAACATTTAATAAAACAACCTGAAAATAAATTGTTAAAGATCACAGTACGAACTTAGCCTCCAAGTGGTTTTGTCTACATGTACTTATGATGGACATTAGCTCTGGCGAGTGGGGACCCTGGAAGAATAAAATCCCTTATACCTATAATTGCATCTATGTAGTCTGTCATGAGAAATCATTTTTCAAGTCTAAAGCCTATGCTGAAAAATCCGTGTTTTTGGCGATTTCATTAACATTTTAAAATGTTAACAATTCTCTCAGGCCAAACTGAAAATGACTGTGTGAGAAATGAAAGCTTGCATAACTGACACCCGCTATTCATGGCTCATTATCCTCATGACTTTCATTACACAGTGAAGGAGTGGGGTCAGCCTCACAAAATTTAGGGACAATTAAGAAAATTACTGTATGCAGATGTGACTTGTGGACTGAGAATAATGAACTTCCTAAAAGACTGTATTCAACAAAAATAAATAAGACTGTTGGAAATTCCACAGATGTTTTATGGCTTAGGGCAGCTTTTCAGTTATTCATTATAAAGACTCCTTCCAGGGTTTAGCCCACTTCTCTTGAATCTTTCCTGAACACTTTGAAACTTTCTCTTGGACCATATTCCTCAGGGAGCCTAAGAAGTCCTAGGCATATTTCCTGAAGTTCTTGAGAGTTCACTCTCAAACACATCTATAGAGATGAAAACATTGTCACTGACCCTTATACATTGTGAATTGCTGCTGGGCTCCAAACCTTACACTCTTCTTTTAAACTTTCAAACTTTGTGGAATAAACATTTGGAAAAAGCCACAGGGGCAAAGGTTATCCACAGACTTAACATTCCATAAAAAAAAAAAAAAAAAAAGGAAAAGAAGAAAGACACTAAGTACCAAAGTAAAAAAAGACTATGTTTTTAATTTAGACAAAATTGTATTTATCTACCAACCACCTATTTTTCTTCTATGGCCACAGATAATAGAGTACGTAAATATAATATAAAATTTCCTTTCCTTCCTTCTATTTCAATAAATGTCTATTAAGTGGCTGCTATGTGCTTGGCATTAAACTAGGCTGAATAATAGTGTCTCTACTTAATAAAATTTATACTTTAGCTCAGAAGTCAGACACATAGACAAATAATGATGATGGAATGGGCTAAATACCATCATATAATTTCATGTACAAAGTACCATGGGATCCTTGTGAAAGGAGGGACATAATTTTAATATAAATTAAACCTTGAGGAGCAGAAAGATCCGTTTGATCTTGATAAAATGAACCCCTAGGGCATATACAACCCAAGTCAACAAATATTTCTCCCTGTATTTTCTAAACATTTTTAGGATCCAAACAGAATCATTTTTCTTGTGTTCTCCATTTTATATGAGGAAGAAAGATGCTAAATAACTTAATGTAGCTTTCATAAGGGGTTTTTCCAGTCTGCTGTTTATGATTGTCCTTCCAAAATAATGACTATTCAAAATTACACATCAAAGTTTTGCTTATATTTTTGTTATGAAGAATTTTCTTATCCCAGATAAAATCCTGAGCCTCAATTATGTGCTAGTTCAAAAACAGTGATAGCAACTGTAAAATAAAATATGCAAATACTTTAATCTTGTGGAAATTCAAATACAATATGGGGAAAACGGAAAGTTCAGATGATGACAGAATATCTAATTTTATCATCAGTAGTTTTCTAATTAATGAATTTTGAATTATTTTATTGTGTTAACAACACCCTTTAGGGACTGTATAGGCTGTGATTAAACTGCCAATATATGGCATTTAGCGTGTCGCCTTCCACATAGTAGGTGCTCAGTCCATATATGTAAGATTAAGTGTAAAATGCTTATGACCACCTGACATTTCCTCAAATAGTCATCAAATAGTCTTTCTAAAAGGCAAGACACTGTGAGGTTGTCTTTTGTTTCTCAGTATAGTAAGATGTCCTTGCTTCAAGAGGGCTGCCTGCTCAGTTAGAAGAGCATGTGACTCTTGACCTCAGGGTTGTGAGTTTGAGCCCCAAGTTGGGTTTAGAATTTACTAAAAATAAGTAAATAAACTTTAAAAATGGGACCAGTCTGGAGCTAAGCCTTCACCTCTAAAAGAGCAAAAATTTCTCTGATTTGGTCTTTCTGATCACAGGTGGTCCTTTTCATGAAAAAAAAACCAGGCCCCTATAAAATAAAATAAGGATAGTCTCCTTTTCCCAGGGATCATGAAAACTACTTCCATATTATGGGTTATTCTTTAAATTAAATGGGCTTTTTCATTCTAGCTTTTGAACCAGACTGAGAAACTGGAGAAGAAAGGTGCCTAAATAAAAAGGTACCTAATTAGAGGTACCTAATTATGTATATACATACATATATATATATATATTATATACACACACACATATAACTCCATGTTTTGGCAACAGAACTCTTGTAGAACGCTTAGTTCTGTCCAGCTATCTATTACCTATCGATCATCTAGCCAGCTAGCTAGCGAGCTAACTAGCTCTCTTATCACCTATGTATTACAAGGACCCCATGGATAGTAGGATCTATTGTTATGTCGATTTTACAAAAATGGATATAGGGCACAGGAAACTAAGGCTCAGAGAAGTTAAGTAACTTGACCAAGTCACACAAGCAGTAAGTGGCAGAGCTAAAATTCAAGCTCAAGAGAGTCTGGCTCCAGGGTCTATGTCTTTAATTACAACTCTACACTGCTTTAAGCATCACAGCCTGGGAAGAGAGAGAAAAATTCATTTCCTGCTCAACTAATTTTTTTCTCTGTATAGATTTCGAGAGATTTGTCTAAGTCTGTTGATAAAAGAGTGGGCAGGGACAGAAACATTTGTTGTGTATCTACTATGAGCTGAGCACGGTGTTAGGTACTTTTCATATATAATTTCATGGTATCTTAAATATCGTCTATCAAACTATTCAATGTGATCCTAGTTTATTAATTAGAAAACTGACGGTCAGAGTTTTTAAACAATTTGCCAAGAACAACTAGCTAGTAAGGGGCTAAGCCAGGCCTTAAAAGCAGGACTCTGTGTTCCCTACGATACACCATGCACTTCCAAATCTGTAGATCAAATTCCAGATGACAGATCAGGAAGTACTCGCCTGTGTAACCAGAAGCCTCTCAGAAATACTATTATTAGAGTTGAAAGTTACTCAAAGTCAAGATTTCTGCAAAGGGGAGAGAGAGAGAGGGAAATTCTGCTTCCTGTCCAAACCCTGGGAGTGGGGATGTAAGACAAGGCCTTGTGTCCTACCTTGATAAATATTGTCCTGAAGTGAGATTTGCGGCTTCTGCCTCCATGCAGTTCATCGTGCTGGGGATAAGTGCGAGTTCTGGCTGGAGCATGGTGGCCGTGGCTACAGCTCTCGCAACCAGTTCCATGGCATCTTGTACATAGTACTCAAAGACAGACTGCGTTGTTTTTCCATGAGCAATGAGCCCGAGGGGCAAACCTTCTGTCCTTAGTTCCTCGACGTTCTGGGAATCCCCCAGCACCCAACGAAGCTCAGGGGGGGTTACTCCAAACTGGGTGGTAATTTCAAAAATCCGCCGGATACTTTCCATGTCACAGCCAAACATCACCATGGTGGCCGTACTGTTCTTAATACTCTCAAGCTGGACCTGCAGGAAGCTCAAGAGGTCCTCGGTGGAGGAGAGGTTGGTGGTGATGTTGATGATAGAGCCAAGGTGGAACTTGGAATTTTTCTGGATAAGGAGGAGGAAGTCAGTGATGTTCCAGTCTTCTTGGCACAGCAACAAGCTAAAATTGTACCAGTTGTTCATGGTCAGGATTGAGACAGTGACATCAGCATCAGAACTTAATGAATTTTCTAAACTCAGTTGTAGGTGAAGGGGATTCTGTATTTAAAGATATGAAAAAGAAGAATTAGAAAGCATTGGCCAAAGATGGTAACATAGGGTATGTTTGCTTTCTTATGAGGCTTACTTAATCCTTTATTTTTCCCTGCGATATTCAAATACCTCTGGGATAAAATTCCCATCATCTGGAAAACTATGTTTCCTATCTAATGGAATTACTGAATCCTTACAACTGATTTTCCTTGCTAAGAGTACCAGAGGGCAAATGGTTTTTGGTGTAAATGTCAGGGCTGATGCAACTGGTCTTAAATTTTTATCAGGCTTGTCTACTTCCTTATAGCTTGTCTCCTTCATGTATTCCATTTCTAACTATGGCTGTTATTAACTCACTTGTTAAATTCTCCTCTCAGGTGAAATAATGAAAAGGAATTATGTTTGCTTTCCTTTAAAACAAATAGCAGAGAAGTCTAAAATGGTGCAGGCACTTATATAAGGATGGTGTGGAAAATGGATACACCGGTTTCCTAAACTTTTAGCCTCTGAGGAAGGCATTTTTAATATAATGGCGCTACAGTCTGAATGTTTGTGTTCCCCCCAAATTCATGTTGAAATCCTAACGCTCAGTGTGATGGTAGGAGGAGGTGGGGCCTTTGGGAAGTGACAAAGTCATAAGGGCAGAATCCTCATGAATAAGATTAATGCCCAAGAGGCTTGAGAGAGCTCCCCAGCCCCCACTACTGTGTGAGTACATAGTGAGAAGTTGGCAGGCTGTGACCCAGTAGGGGGCTCTTCCTTGATTATACTGGCACCCTGATCTCTGACTTCCAACCTCTAGAACTGTGAGAAATCAATTTCTGTTGTTTACAAGCCACACAGTCTGTGGTATTTTGTTATAACAGCCCGAATGGATGAAGACCTCTGTTATAATTAGCAATATATACCTTAGGATAAAGTGTATAGTTTAGTAGTGAAGGCTTGATTGAATTTGTGTCTACTGACAGGGGATTTTTGCTGTGAAATGTGAAATGTGTGCCATTTAAACACATTTATGGAATTTCCATCACAATTTCATCTACTTATCGGATTCACCAAATCAATGAAGGAAGAGTATTTTTCTTATTATCTTTTCTTATTTGAAAAGTCACAAATCACTAATCATCCAGGTGAAGTGGAAATAGTTCTTCAATGAATAAATTTGTTAACTGTTCTTCCTGAGAGCAGACATTTGACTTACTTATCCCTTAACATTGACATCCTGAGAATGTTTAGCACAATACCTTCCACATACTAGGTGCACAATAAATATTGACTGAATCGAACTAAACATGTTCCCACTGGAAGCTATTAGACTATAGGACTATTTTTGAGAACTTCTAAACATTCAGGCAAACACTATATGTAGAGAAATGAGGAAGGTTTTCTCAATAAAGTTTTAAGCGCTGAACAAAAGGTAAGTGTGGCCTCCCCTTACCCACGTAAAAATGTGTAACGAGAAAGATTTGAGCTGAACTTTTAATTCTATGAAACACCAAAAGAATTTTAATATGAGCAGACTAAGAGGTGAAGATTCAGAAGGGATTTATGGGAGAAAGACCATGGCCAAAGGCAGTAAATGAGAGCAATCATGCTGGTAGGTAGGATGGAGCTTTAAAATTTATTCTAAGACTTTAGCTTTTGTCCTTCAAATTAAGCTTTTGAGCGGGGTTTGTAATGATAAAAGCAGAACTTCTGGAGAATCATCTGTGGGCAGCATTCAACAGGGAGAGGGAAAATAAGCCCTTCAGCATCTTGATTGGGTGCTAAGTATTTAAACTGGAAGCCAGTGTTGGTCATGGCAGGAAGGACGTGAGAAAAGTTTTCTTTTCTTTTTTCATTAAAATTTAATGACACGCTCAGATGTGAGAGGCAAAAAAGGGAGGGGTGTTAGAAACCAGGAGATAGCATCCAAGAGGTAGTTCCTGGTTTCCAGGCTTGAGATGCCACCATACAAAATCTTGAGGTGAGAGGAATGGAAGCTTCCCTTCTTCACACCTACTATTAATCAATATAAATTCCTCCAGAATGTTCTTCTTGTCCTCTTTTAGCTTTTCTTCCTTCCTATTTCCTCCTCTGCTTTAACCCTCTTCCAGAAGCAAAAAGGAATGGAGGGCAAGTTCTACATTTAGCTGGCAGGAACAAATTATTCCCAACTATCTTGTTGGCCTCAGCTCCCTATTCTGTTGCCAGCTTTCTTTCTAAAACATAAATATGACCATACCATTCTTCTGCACCATGACCTCTGAGTCACCCATAGAACAAATTTCAGAATCAATAGTATGGCTTAGGAGGCCATTTCTAGTCTTTAACTTCACCTCCAACACTCCAAACATGCAGACCAAGATGAGTCATGGTGGACAATTTATTTTTCTTGTATCAGAGTGAGCATTTTCACACCTATACAAATGGGGTATGTTGATCTCTCAACATCTCCAGGATGCTTTTGCCTGTACTCATATTTATTCTTCAAAGCTCAGCTCTTCCACGCAGATTTCCAGAAACTAGTTCATGTAACATTTACTACCATTTCTGCTGTTGTTAAACTTTAAATTTTTTTTATTTTAAAAATAAAAATTGAAGTATAGTTGACATTAACTGTTGATCTTTTTTTCTCACAATATTTTTGCCCTGTTGATTTCCTGTAATGGTGAATTGGGTTTTTGTCAATTTGATTGTTCCTCTGACTCCTGACCAAGCAGAATTAATCATCTCATGTCTGTGTCATGGTCTCATTTTGCTCATCTCTCTAATACAGAACTCTTCACACCAGACTGTAGCTATCAATTAAGTGTTTATCTCCCACACTAGACTGGAAGCTTCCTTGGGATAAAGACCATAACTCAGCCATCTCTTATCACACGATTCTTAATTAATCAGAGATAGTATTTGTCAAACGCAGTTTTCTTTTGCTCACCTCAAGTCCTAGGCTATGATAATAATCTCTGCACTGAAAGACTGAGAAGACGACCAATTCCAGCAGAGCTTCAAGACCCAATATTTTGCCCGTAGTTGGAACAAAGCCTCCTCCATAAACTTCCTTCAGAGGGATTCATTAAATAGGTATGTAAGGAGCAAACTTTAATGAAAGCAGAAATGAAAATATTCTTCTCTTGCTAAATAGAGAAGTGAAATTAGCTAATCATATTGAGCATTTAGCACCAGGCAGAAACAACTGCATTTGGCATGAGAGTGACATGGTAGTAAAATGAAGGACAACCTTCCCTCCCCCGCCATGGATAATTATTAATCTGTATAATCACACTCGTCCCCACAGACAATTCTATTAAGAAATTCCAGTTGCTGAAGTTAATCCTTTAACAGACTTATCCTTTAACACCATTCTTCAAGCAAATATTTATTAAATAATAGTTTGGAAGCATCTAGTGATGTATTTATCTAGTAGCCTCAGATGCAACATCTTCCAGTTTCTCACCATATAATAATAAAAGCAGAGGTGCACGCACGCGCGCACGCACACACACACACAGATATGAAAACTTGTAACACTAAAATTCAAGCCTAATAGTAAATAAAACTTCTATCAAAATCTGGGGCTCGGCCACAGTCTTCTTCAGTCACCTGAGCTTGTCTCTCCTTTTCTGGGGACAGTAATCCTGGTAATCTCTTAAATTCTGGCTCCATTATTTATAAGCCGAGCAGCCTTCTTCAAGTCACTTAGTGTCTCTGAGTCATAAATTCCCCATCTCCCTGGTGCACAGGGAAGGCCTAGGAAGTGGTAGCTATTACAATTTGCCTAGAGTTAAGTCACTGTGTTGGAAGTGCTTTTAAAGTGACTGCAATGTATTTTTTTTCTTTGTTATTATTCCTTTTCGGCTATTTTCACACAATAGTCCCTGCAATACGCATCTTTTACTAATACCAATTACACCAATCCCTAGCAGGAAAACACCAACTCTGTCTCAGGCTAGGGGAGGCTATTTATTTGGGAGACACTGTGTTCAGTGCAGAGTATCTGCCTCCCGCCCAAAGAAAAAAGCCCCCAAGCCCCTTCTTTCTTTGGTACTGGTTCTAGTGTCACTTTACAAGTTAAGGAACTTTTGGCGCCAACTGCTGGAAATCCATCAATCTTTGTTCTTCCCGAGAGCAGAGATTCAGCTATTTTCTGGATCAGTAAAAGTTTCAGAAACAGGAGTGGCTGCAGTCAAGAGCTTGCCAGATGCTTTGAGACGTTCCCTGACAGAAGAAAAGAGGTAACGAAGCCAGGTTTGCTTTGAGAGTGAAGAAAAAAATGGAATTCTCTCAGCCTTTCCTGGGCAAGCAAACCATTTAGTTTTGCCTTCTAGGCCAAAGCTCAGAAAGCTCAAATGAGCATAATATTTCCACTACTTTTAACAGAGATGAAATTCCCTTCCTTTCATGAGTCTGCTAATTACTGGAAGTGTTCAAGGGGCTCAGAACTGGTGTTCTCCCTGCTATCACTTCTCCTCAGCCAAGGAGGCTGTGGGAGGTTTGTGGTTTTTCATTATCTCACATCTCATTTGACCTATATTATACACAAGACTTTTATTTTTCTGAAAATTAAAGCTTATTCCTTTAGAAGCCCAGGCTTTTAAATAAATGAACTGTTTTTTTTTTTTTACCATTGCATTAGGGATTCAGGTAAACAGAAGGCATAGTCCATGCCCAGAAATTGTAATCTAATAAATAATAATACAAATGAAGAGCTAGTATCTACCAATAGCCCTGGTGCTTTATGCATATTGTCTTATTTTATTCTTACAATGGCCTCATGAGGTGACAACAATGATTAGTTTTAAATAAACACAAAAATGAGGCTCAGAAAGAGTAATTTTTCCAAGGTTGTGCAGCTACTAAGAAATAAGAGCCTGGATCCAAATCCCAGCTTTGTAGGACTTGAAAGCCTGTGCTTTTGGCTAGTACTCCATCCTGCTCCTTTCCCTTGATAAGCACTTGTGAGGTAGAGCCTCGACATTTATAGACAGTATTGGCAGTTCCGATTATTTGCAAGTAATCCTGGAATC